AAATACCAAACTGCTACTTTTTACATATCTGTTAGAGTTCTGAAGATCAAGGGAAGATGACAGGAGTTCTAGTCGTTGAAGAACGCGGAGTTCTTCGTTAATTCACAGGAGATAGACGAATTCACAAAGTTGGGAGTTGCTGCAGGAGAGTGCAATCCATGAGAGCTTTGAAAACTGTAGCTAAGATTGGTGCAAGAGCACGAAATCAAGGAGATCTATGGGAATTGCAGTCATGAGGTCAGAAAGTACTAGTTGTAGTCGAGTCTGGCGGACTGTAAGTTTTAATTCGTTTATAGTGGATTGTTGACTAGCAAAGTTCCCAGAATTTTTACCTAGTTGGGGTTTCTCCGTGATCATTTCTTGTGTTCATTTATTGCTTTCATAACTACGTTATTTCAACATAGGAAAAAATTGAATTGTATGATTAACCATCTAGAGATAATTAATAGTGACTTGTTGCTAATTAATTATTAAGTTTTTAATTTGCATAATTACCTATTCACACCCACTCTAAGTGTAGTTTGGGTTGAATTTCGTATTTTCATGCTCATTCCCTTCTCTTGTCTGTCCAGGTTCCCAGTCTACTTTGGGGAGAAACAATTCTCACTGTTGTTTCTGTAATTAATAAGATTCCATCTTCCTACACTTGAGGTTTATCACCATTTAAAATATTGTATGAGCATCCTTCTGATTACTCCTCATTAAGAGTCTTTGGATGTACTTGCTTTGTTCTTCGTCCTGAAATCGAACGAGTAAGTTGACATCTCGTTCTATTATCTGTGTTTTTTTAGGTTATGAGCAGGGGCAAAAGGGTTATCGTTACTTTAATCCCATTAATAAAAATATATATATTTCTCGTCATATTGTCTTTCTTGAGCACATTACATTATTTTCTATATCTCATAATACTCATGACGTGATTAAAACTGATCTTATTATCATTGATCCATTCTCTGATGATATTGATAGACCACATTCCCATACCCCTTGTACTGTTGATTCCTCATGTCCTACAGGTACACATGCACCGATTCATGACGTCCCTCCTCTTTCTATGGCCACCCAAGCACTGTCTGTGGTCGATGATCCAGCTCCAGCTCCCTCTCTTCCTCGATATCCTCAACGTATTCATAAGTCCACTCAATTACCTAATTTTTCTTATTCTTGTTATTTTGAGTTCTTTTGTTATTTTCTAACCTCCATTCACAAGCTATTTGAACCCTATTCATATAAAGAAACTATTCTGGATCCTCTTTGACAACAGGCTATGGATGATGAACTCTTTGCTTTACATAAGACAAATACTTGGGAGTTGGTTGCATTGCCTTCAGGAAAACATTCTATTGGTTCTAGTTGGTTTATAAGATTAAAACCAAATCTGATAGTTCAGTTGAGCGTTACAAGGCTAGATTGGTTGTTAAGGGTTTTAATCAGCAATATGGTCTGGATTATGAGGAGACTTTTGCTCATGTTGCCAAGATGACCATTGCTCGTCCACGTATTGCAGTTGCATCTGTTCGTCAGTGGAGTCTCTCTCAGTTGGATGTCAAAAATGTCTTTTTGAATGGAAATCTTCAAGATGAGGCTTATATGGTTCCTCCTCCTGGTCGTTCTTACTCTCTTGGATATGTTTTGCAAGCTCAAGGCATTTTATGGCATCAAACAAACACCTCGTGCCTGGTTTGAGAAATTTTCCACTATTGTTACCTCTCTTGGTTTTACATCCAGTTATCATGGCTCTGCCCTATTCTTTAGATGCACTTCAGCTGGTCGTATTCTACTTTTGCTATATATTGACGATATGATTCTAACTGGTGATGATGTTGATGTGATTGCAGATTTGAAATCAGAATTGGATCGTCATTTTGAAATGAAAGATTTATATGCATTATCTTATTTTTTGAGTATTGAAGTTGCTTCTTCTCGTAAAGGTTATCTTCTCTCTCAATCTAAGTCTACTATAGATATTATTGAGCGTGCTCCTTTTACTAATATTAAAACTTCTGATACTCTTCTTGAGTCCAACACTCGATATTCAGTTCTTCTCGTGTTTGATTTATCAAATTAGTTAGTATTTTTCACAAAGCCTAGAGTAGTTTGCTAGAGAGAATGCCAAATACCAGGTGGCTTAAGTGCGTTGGATGTTGGACAAAAAACAGATTTAAACATATCAATGATGTTCTACCACATGGCATTCCGTCAGACTGCCATCAAATCCCCTGTACATGTAGCATGATTTTTTATTAAAAAGATTATTTCCCTCTATTTCTAATTCAACTAGAAAAAGATGGTCGGTAAATATGAAATACGTTCTATGTACAGATGTTATAAAAGGTACTGCATATATATAAAAAGTGTGTGTGTGAGAGAGTGTTTGAAATATGGATTCCATCAAACATCCTTAAAAAGTAAGATACCTCGGGATGAGAAATGTTGCATGTACAAT